GTCTGTGGCGCTGACGCTGCCGATGTGCAGGGCGGGGCTGTTGTTCTCGCGGACGAACAGGGTATAGGAGGTTTGGGTGAAGGCCGGGGCGTTGTCGTTGACGTCGGAGACCAGCACCGTTATGTTGTGCTGGGTTTTGAGTCTGGGGGTCCCCAAGTCGGTGACGGTGATGGTGACGTTATACTCGGCCTGGCTCTCTCTGTCCAGAGCCCCATTTGTTACCAGGGTGTAGAAATTCTCTGCAGATGGCTTCAGGAGGAAGGGGAGATCATCTTGGATGGAGCATGTCATCCTTCCGTTATCCCCTGAATCTCGGTCTCGAATCCTAAACAGGGCCACTTCTATCTCGGGGGAATTTTCCGGAATGGGGCTGGTCAGTGATGAAATAGTTAGTTCTGGGGAGTTATCGTTAACATCCACCACCTCAATGGAGACAGAGCATTTTCCAGAAAGTCCCCCGCCATCAGACGCATCTATATCCAGCTCATATGAGGATATTGTCTCAAAATCTAGTTTTTTAGTTAGTCGAACTTCTCCTGAAAGGCTGTTTAGCTCAAAAGTTGTGCTTATCTCCTGAGAACTATAAAAAAGGGAGTATGATATCTCTCCATTTGTCCCAGTGTCTAAATCTCTCGCAGAGACCTTGAGAACTAGGGCGCCTACAGGGCTGTTCTCTGGGACCTGCACCTGGTAGAGCGTCTGCTCAAACTCAGGGGCGTTGTCATTGACATCCATGACCAAGATGCGGACCTGGGCGGTGCCAGACCGGGGTGGAGAGCCGCCATCCAACGCTGTGAGGGTTAACCTGAGCTCGGCCTGCTCCTCTCGATCCAGCTCTTTGTCCAGCACCAGCTCGGGATACTTCCTGCCATCCCCCCGGTTGCGGGTGGAAACGTGGAAGTGAGAGTTGGGACTGATATTGTAGTTTTGGATATTGTTGTTGCCCACGTCCAAGTCCTGCGCTTTTTTCAGAGGAAACACGGTCCCAGGAGCGCTGGTCTCTGGGATTTTCAGCGTCATTTCTCTTTCAGGAAACTCGGGAGAATGATCGTTTATGTCTCTCACCAGTAGCTCAGCTCGAAATACTCCCAATGGTTTTATCAATAACACTTGGAAATGCATTACACACGGATCAGTGGGGCCGCACATTTCCTCGCGGTCCAGTTTCTCATTTAATATCAAGTCCCCGGTCCGCAGATCAAGTTGCAATCGGGGCTCATTATCCTCAGAGACCACCCGGGCTCCCCGCGCAGCTAGTTCCTCCGCTCTCAGCCCCAGGTCCTTAGCCAGGTTGACCACAAAGGAGCCGCTCTCTGTTTCCTCCATCACGGAATAGCGACGGGATTCCCATCCCGCCAGAGCCACTCCCATCAAAAGAAAGAAAATCAGGACTTGCCTTTGTTCAGGTAAGCGCTCCCCTCCGGCCTCCATCTTTATTCCACCAATGCCTTTCCAGGAACAGGGCCCAGCTCTACCTTAGGGAGCGATGGGACTGAGACAGTGATGGATCTCTCAGTCTAGACATGTCGGTGACAGCATTCTCTGGAGACTTGCAGGTCCCGAACTGTTTGCAGGCTTTTCTCTTCCGCTAGAGATCTGAGATTGAGTTCATAGCATTTCCGGGGCTTTTTTGGGGTTTTTTTTTTTACACCTTAGCCTGCAGCGCCACCATGCGTTGACTTCGAAAAGAACTGCTACAATTGTATTCTCTTGATATATACCGGTAATAATCTAGTAATACCAATAATCAATATATTTAGTAATCCCAATAATCTATTAGGAGTTTGGAAATGGTTTGGGAGAGATGATGTAATCATAAAACCATGCAATGATAATTATTCATCCTTCATTCAAAGAAGTATTATCGATATCTATGTACTAGGCTCTGAAATACATCAGTAAACAACCCAGACATGGTTTCTACCTTCTAGAACCTGTAGTCTGTGTGGGGTGCTGTGAAAAGAACTGAGAAGTGAAAAAAGACTTAACAGTGATCAGTCATCTTGCAAAATAACAATATATACTTATGTAATTCCTTAAAATTCTCTCAGCAAAAAGGATAAATTTCTCTAGATTTTCTTTCAAATTCTAGGCAGTCTATGTACCAACATTGTGATTCTCACTTGTTGAATAACATCAAGGAAAAAGCTACCAGGTAATTCCAGTTTATATACCCTCTCTACATAAGGTCAGAGAGCTATGATTTTATGAAACTCAAACTATGGGAACATGCATATAAGGGCACTTCTTATAGCCCTTACCCTGCCTTGTCTCCTTAGCATTGATCACTATGTGATATAGAATATATGTGCACATTTAATTATTTCTTTTCTGTGTCAATTTGAGTTCCAGAACTTTGTTTTGTTCACCTCTATATCCCTCAACATCTAATCTCTGGCACATGGTAGGTGCTCAACAAATATTTGTTGACTAGATCAGTGAATAAATCATAATTTAAAATTTTTGACACCTACATTCTCCTAATGTAAAAGCTCCCTTTCCCCCCTGTATATAAGCTGGATAAACAAGACACATGTTCCCAAGTGTGTATTTTCTGTGCTCTTTTGAATAGTAATTTGAAATAATTCAGAATGATCTAAAATGTTTTTCATTAAATGGCAAAATACCCTGACTCCCCCCTAAACAAATGGATACATTATAACAATGAAAGAACATAACAGCCAGGCTATAATGATTCTACAAATAAGGTATACATCTCTTTGAAACATATTTTACATTGTCAGTGTTATTTCACATAAATGCTATTATGACACTGATGGTATTAAAAGCTATTTCTTATATAAGCGTTTTCTAAGAATTTCTCTAAACACTCCACAAACTGTACAACTTGGAAATATCCATCAATTCTCAAAATTATACAGTGCAACAAAAGCTTGTGCTTGTCCCTTATAGATTATTAATATTCCACAACCTTTTGAACCAAATATGGTTAAATTAATATGAAAACCACAATTTATAAAATCTCAAAATAATAAGCTTCAATACATACAAGAATACCTAAACATGTTTTTGACAAGTGCAAAACCCCACATAGCTATCTTAATTAGAGGGAAATTTATTGAAAGACCACTTGTTTCCAAAAACCCAAGGGAGAAAGCAGGCTTAAGAGGGGCTGGAAAATGTACAATGAGGTTACTCTTAAGGCATCTCCTTCCCTCTCATCTCTAAGTGAATTGACTTGCTGTGCTTCTTGCAGAGTATTTAGCCAACATGATATTACTTTCTTGTTAAGTTCCTAACAGAGAGACTATTTTATATCTGGTTTCTAAAGCCATTTTTTTAACAGAGAGAATCAGACTGGTACAGCTTGGATCAGTGATGTCTACTACCTTGTCTGACTGAAATCACAGAGGGAGATGGGTCATTAAAATAAATATGATGCAACAGTAGATGTCTACTGAAAAGAGAAGTTTCCAGAAAGAGATGGGGTGGGATTTACTATTAAATATCTGGAAACAATCTAATAACCTTTCAATAATACTTATATATATTGTATACTGAAAATTGATATAAGGATGAAAAGCCTTTAAATATGGGGAAAATTGTAGTTTTTTCCATTTAATACTGCTGTGAAGCAAAAACATGCGATTTTTGCGCACATTTCTCCATGTAAAAATTTAAGATGAGTAGGCATATCATGTCAAACTGAAGATATACTAATAACTCATTCAATTTGTATCACGCCTGTCTCCTAAGTAACCACAACATAAAAAATGTATAAATGTTTCTGGACAACATTCAAACACAAAATGGGGCTGTGGTCATCTTCAAATCACTAGTGCTTGATGATGAAAAGTTGATAAATTGAACAAATATTCATGACTTTTTAGTAATGAGGTAAAGTTGCAAGTTTTTTGTCTAAATCAAAATAGAAATTATAAAAAGAGAGTAAATATACGTATATACATAAAGTTTCTAATCTTCTTAACTAGGAAAATGAAATCAACAAAATACCCAAGAATTATATATGGATCAAAACAGTTAATGGAGACTAGTATATTTAGTAGAATTAACTTTCATCTTGAATGATCTCAAAAATTAACAAATTCCTAATTGAACTCAAAACCACTTACAAAATTTGAGTTTTCCTCCACATCATTCACAGACTCTTGAGGGTTGGAGGCAATAGACTTCAGGAACTTGAACTCGCTTGTGGTCCCTGAGCCTCCACTCAGACACACCTCGTACTGGTAGCTCTGCGACAGGCACCCGCTGCCTCTGACATCCACCAGGTGGCCCGGAAAGTGGCCCTCGGGCACCGAGCAGCCACCCAGCGAGGCGGCCCTGCCCCTCCTGCACAGCCGCACCGCGATGAACGCCAGCACCGAGAACAGGAAGAGCGACGACACCGACGCCAGCGCGATGACCAGGTAGACCGTGAGCGCGTCGGCCCGCGCCGGGTCGGCCGCCGCTTCGGGCAGCGGCAGGTAGGGCTGCGAGAAGCCGTCCACCAGCAGCACGTGCAGCGTGACGCTGGC